AACTGCGGATAAATGGGTTCTGCGTTTTGTATATCGTTCTTTATGGGCTTAAGATAGCAACACTGATCCAACCTGGAAGTGACGAATTAAAATTTCAAGATTATAATATTAGGTGCGGAGTAATGCGATCTAATGTCTAATGCTGTTCTAGGAGAGGGATTAGAATGTCCAACTAAAGTTGTTGATTGTTTAAGATGACGGGACCATCGCCAACGAATAGGTCATCGTCTTTTGGGTCAGATACTGAACGCACAGTCTGATGTCATACGGCCTGTGTGGAAAACCTCGTTACAACTGGTTTGAAATCAGAAGGATTGAAGAGTGAACATTCACTGCTTGTACGGTGCCCTGCCTTGTCTTCGATGCAGAGTAAAATATGAGTAATATGAAAATGTAAATGTCTAGCTAGATGCCATGGTCTAAAACGTCATTTTCTTTCCAAAACGGCATTGTCACTGAATGTACTGCCTTTAAACAACTAAAACATTTTTGTTTATCGTTGTATTCCTCATACTCCTCAATATAGTTTGTTTATTCCTCTAAATCAAACACTTTGCCTAGATAGATAGATGTATTCTTATACTAGGGCCTGTTGCTAGTGATATAGCCATTTCTCGTTTCTCTGAAGGCATCGATCATCCGATGAAATACTTCCTCATTTACCTTCAAGATCTTTCCTATTTCCATATTCATTTCTTTATATTGCAGTACTTTATTTTGCTTCGCAACGACTTGTTGCTGGGCTGGTTGTATGAATGATTTTCACTCACCATTTCACTGTGTCTCGCAATACGACATTCATGTCGGTGGAATCGTAGAGCATTTGCACTCGTTCCATGTTTTCCTTATCTTTCGGCTGATGTGTTCACCTTACATGCTTTGCCACTGATAAAGCTTCGATCGCTCGCACAAATACCATTGAACTGTTGCTACAACGTTGATATGCCTTTCTTTGTATATGCCAGGTTTGGCAACTGTAGACGATGCGGCTCCCGGTGTCATCGTTTGTTTAATACCTTACTCAATATTTCCCGCTGAATAAGCAGGTTCTTGACTTTATACGAACGTTTACCAAATGTTCCTTGTTATGCAAAACTTTTCTTCGAGTCGTCTGCTAGAGGATCAAACGAAAGTCTGTTCGGTGTTGAAGATTTTTCATTAAGTCGCTGCACTAGCTATGAAGTCATTGTTCTTGCAACACTGGTAGTGGGAGATTTTTTTACATCAGTTTTGTAACCTCCTTCATTTGACGTTAATGTCACTTCCACTCTCATGTTTGTCACCAAAAATTCTTTGTCGTTCACCGTCCCAGTCAAATACTCCACTAATTGTTTATAGCTTTAATGCTGGGAAGCCCTGTTCCATCTTGTCTGTATAGGACATGCAGTTTGTCGGTGTCTATGCAGGTGTCACGCAGGTGCATATTTTCAGCTCGATAACATCGCATTTATTTTGAATAAAGTAAAAATTCTTCACCATCAGGTTTTTTCGATGAAGGCCTATTCAAGACTGTCTTGGACTTCTGTTTTCTGTCATTTTCATTCATCTTCATTCAGCAAACTTCTTCACATTTTTTTACCACTGGTCTGGAGTTTCTCACGTGAACCGCTAACTGTCTCTTGTATCCCAGTCTTAATGTCTCTGTGGGATAGTCCTGATTGGTTCTTCCTGCAGCGTGCCCTCCTCATCTCTGCTTCATCTTCTTCCATCACAGATTCTTGTTTCTGTTGGTTCATCTATGCGTTTTTACTGGCATTCCTAACATTTGCCTTGTTGTGTTGTCCATTATGGAATTTTTGATTAGATTTCAGTCGTCGGGTT